CATCCGTTCATCCGTTGATGGACATTTAGGTTGCTACCACCTCTGGGCTGTTATGAACAGTGTTGCTATAAACATGGGTGTACAAATATCTCCTCAACACCCTGCTTTTAGTTCTTTCGAGTATATACCCAGAAGTGGAATTGTTGGATCATAGGGTATTTCCATTTTTAATTTTTTAAAGAATCGCCATACTGTTTTCCATGGCGGCTGCACCAGTTTGACTTTTTTTTTTTTAAAGATTTTATTTATTTATTTGAGAGAGAGAATGAGATAGAGCATGAGAGGGGGGAGGGTCAGAGGGAGAAGCAGACCCCGCTGAGCAGGGAGCCCGATGCAGGACTCGATCCCGGGACTCCAGGATCATGACCTGAGCCGAAGGCGGTAGCTTAACCAACTGAGCCACCCAGGCGCCCCAGTTTGACTTTTTTTTAAGATAAGCACGTAGATAGGACTTTCAAAAACCTTTGCTTATTATGTAAGATGCGTTTCTCCTGCTTTCACTCACAGCTGTGTGTGTTCTTTCCCCCTCAAGCAAGGGAAGATGTTGTCTCAATGTCTGAATTTTAACATCAAATACAGAAATATAAGGCCAACCATATTTTTGTTCCTTTGTAAGAAACCTAGGGGTTCCCCTCCCCCCCACCTTCAAAGCTGTTTTTAGAATTTTTCTTTTTCTTGAAATTAAAAAAGAGTGTTCTCCTGCTAAGTATCCATGGTGGGGCTCTGGGACGCTGGGAGCCCTTTCTGCCTGAAGAGTCCATTCTTCTTTGGCTTTTGGTTTTCAACTCAAAGTGTTTCCCTCTGGTGTCTTTATTCCATGTATTCTGGGATCCTTTTTGAAAGCCTCTGTAATTCACAGGTCAGACGCCCGTCCACTCAGTCTTCACCGCTTTCTTTTCTTTTTCATCTATTTATCCTTGTCTTCAACTTCCTAGCTGTCTTATGTGCGACTTTTTCTGCAGCGCACATTCTGTCCTTCACTGCCTTCAGCTCACGCTCTCATGTTGCTGTGGTACCTCTCGTTCCCATCCGTTCTTCCCGAAGGCCAGCTCCCATCTTACACTTCATCTCAGTGTTATTCTTATGGAACTAAAAGCCCACACGTTTTACACTGGAATCTTGAATTTTAGTTATTCTTGGTATATTGTTACCATTTTCAAAGCTATGCATTTCCATTAGGTCTTCGGGGTAGCAGCCCCCTACTCTGCTGTGCAGGATTTTCCCGTAGACGGCATACTGCTTTTCTCTTCCCTTACTCTTGAATGACGAAGGCTCAGTTTGGTTTGGGGGTTAGCTATATGGATCGTCCTTGGAATTCTCAATGTCTGCTGCGGCAACAGTAGAGTCCCCCTCTCCGTGGGTGGCTTCGTGTGCACATCCCAAGTTTGATTTCCAACATTTAGCAGGTGTTCGGTTTTCTAGTGCATGTTGCTAGCCCCAAACAGAATCCTCTCTCAATGCCACTGATTATCAGGAGGAAATGGAGTCAAGCTGTAGTTCTTTGATCAGATTTGATCATTTTTTTAAAACTCCAGTCTCTGGTGTGCACTGCCCCAAGACTTTCCCTGCCCGAGAGGGCTTTGCCTGAGAGCACCACACCTCTGAGGACACAGGGTACCTTTGGCCCCTGAATCTGCAGGGACCAGGACAAGAGCAGTGCTGCTAGGAGCTGCCTGGGTGCACAGGACAGGGTTTATAAGTAATCCCAGACTGCCTACCAGCCAAGGGCAGACAGAGAGAGGCTGAAGGTCAGGCTACCTACCCATCTACCCCTAACCTTTGATCTTCTGGGTAGGAGGCCAAGCTGCTCTGGGCAACTAGAGCTTCTTGGTGACAGCACTTGAGTTAGTGGTGTTACCTCCCGAGTCTGGTGAGGAGGCTGTTGGTGAACTGTTATCTCCCTTCTCGGTGTTGTTGTGGGGCTTTCTTCTTCTTCGTCTGCCTGCTCGGGTATTTCTCTGTGAGATGGGAAAAGGACAAATTGGGCCCTGATGGACGGGCCCCATTTTAACTCCCAAGTCGGCACCTTATAAAAGCCTGGAGCTGTGGTTCTCGGCCATGGCCGCACACTGGAATGACCCGAGGGCTTTCACAGATGACCAGTGTCCAGGCCCCACTGTGGCCAGCTGCACAAGCCTCTGTGTGGCAGAGTCCAAGCACCTGTAGCTTCGAAGCTCCTCCGGGTGCAACCAGGACCAAGAACATTTAGCCCAGATTTGAGAACAATGGTAGGGCTTGGGTTCTCATTCAGATTCTAGTCCTACGTGACCTTGGTCAAGTCTTTTAACTGCTTTGTGCCTCAGTTTCTCCCATTCTAAAATGAGAATGCTAATGCCTGCCTCTGTTCTGACCACATAAGGATACAGTGGGGTAAACACAGGCTAATGAGGGTGGAACTACCTAAAGATGTATGACTTCAAGGCCAGCAGTCCAGGGCCCTTTGTAGGCCTTAGGGTGGGGGGCAAAGTCATTCATTCATTCACAGGTACCTAGAACAACACAGGGCAGCCCCTGTGGGCTCCCTGCTCCAGGCTCTGTACTAGGAAGGAGACCCCGCTCCTTTTGGGGTCCCTGGCTAAACCCAGGGGACTCTTCCAGGGACACTGCCCTGTCTCAGACTCCAGGGCAGGAGAGCTCCATGAACTGGCAAACCACAGCTGTACACAGGTAGACCTTTCAGTGGGAAGTGAGTGGGGAGGCAGGAGACCCAAGGGTCGGCATGGGGCCCATGAGATCTATGAGCTTGAATGGACTTCCGGGGGCAGTACGAACAAATGGCTTAGTGGAAAATTCAGACACAAAGTGAGTAAGAGCTTGGGCTCTGACGTACTACCTTTCCAGTTTCAAAACACCATGAGAAAAGAAGTGGGGAAAAAGCTTGGTGTCCAGAGTAGGCAGATCCAGGCTCAAATCCCAGCTCTGCCATTTCCACGTAGCCATGGCCAAGTTGGGTAACTTCCTAACCTCAGATTCATCATCTCTAAAATGGGGCAATAATAGGACCGGCCTAGGGGGATCATTGTGATGATTACCTGAGACATTACATTCAGGTCCTTGGCTCGGCATCTGGTGCACAGGTAGTGGACTGCTACACGCACACACACTTTAAGCTGGAGAAATTCTGAAACATGTAAGCCATGACCCAGGCTCATCAGAAGCAGGATCTGGAGGGACATCTCTTGGAGATCTTCTCATCCAGCCGCAAATTGGCCAGCCGAGGAGGCTGAGGTCCCATCTGCCCTTTTAGGTTTCTAGATAGCACTTCCATCATACACAAGGGACAGACATTAGCCAAGTCTTCCGTGAGGACCTTCCTTCTCTGGAGATTCTGAGATTTGGGCATCCAGGAGAATGCTCAGCCAAAAATCCGCGATGGGGAGGGGTACTGGATGGTGGGGACGGCATGCAGCACGTGCCACAGCCTCTTCCCTCCCGTGTCCTATTCCTCTTGGTGGCACAGTCCCCCACATCCAGAATCTTGGTATCATATTTGAGTCTTCCTTTTCCATCAACCCTGAAATCCATCACTTGGCAACTCTTTATCTTGACAGTGTCTTTTATACCAATCCTGTATCGGGCAGCTAGTACTGCTCAGCAGACAACCACAGAAATCCTCGTGGCACACAGTGTTGTGTTGTAGTTAGATTATATGTGTGCAGGTTGGCTGGGGGCCACCTGATCTAGTCTAGACTTGGGTGGAGCCCTGCTTCACATTCTCTCGTCTTCCCTTTGGGACCATCAGACCACAATGACAATGGGAGAAGCATGGGAGAGTAAGCATAACTATGCAAGGCCTCTTAAGGCCTCGGATCAGAATTGGCAGCCTGTCACTTCTGCCTCATTCTGTTGGCCAAAGCAAGTCATATGGCCAAACCTGAAGACAAGAGGTAGGGGAAATATATTTCTGAATATAATCTAACCTACCACAGATTCTTATCTCTCGAATGCCAGAGAGTGTAGTTTCATTCAGCCTGCACTTTGGCGGCAGCCTCCTGCTTGGTCTCTGCATCCATGCCATAGTACCCTTGTCAGGAGCAGAGATATGACCATGGCCTTTCATGACCCACCCAAAATCTTCTCTGCCAGCCATCACACAGAATGAAGCTCCTTGGCTGGGTGCAATTATCCATACTCTAGCCCCACCCTCTTTCTCCGCCCTGCCTCCTGTTTTTTTCTTCTCTATGCCACCCATGCAGGACCCGGACTGCGTTCTACCTCCCTATTTCCCAAACATCCATATTACCCTCCCCACATCATTGTTCTCTCCGCCTGAAATGCCCCACATTCCTGAGTCAGAATCCTAGCTCTTTCGTGGCCTTGATTTCCCATTCAAAGTGACAACTTCTGCCTCTGAGCTCCCCAAATCCTTTCACCTGGAACCCCACGGTGGCTTTGATACCTTCTCTCTTGTATCACGGTTACAAGTGAACATGTCATTTCCTAGTCCTTAATACAGCACCTGGCACACAATGGGGCAATACTGTTTTTAGGGAGGATGAATGAATGTGTCTAAACCCCTTGCAGGCAGGGGCCGTAGCTGTCTCCAGCCCAGTGCTCGAGCCACAATGGGCCTCAGTCACTAATTGCTGACATGCAGGACAATTCTCTGGTCACCCTCCCTCATGTGGAGGGCATGCTTTGGGGATTAGCAAAGGGAGGTGGTTTAGGCACACGGAGTTGAACGGTGGAGGTGATAACTCTGGGAAAGGTGTCATCTGCCCTTCATCTCACTCCCCCACCTCAGCATTGGGGTCAGTGAGGCAAGGCTGAGGGGCCCCCAGTCTGGGAACTGAAGAAGAGGTGCTGTGGCCGAAAGTCAAGGTGGCCCTGCTACCCACGCGTGAGTCCCCCGCGTTCACACTCCAGCCAAGGGTCACCCATCCCTCCTCAGTGAGAGCATGGGGTTTACCAGTTGTCTAGAGCCGGCCCTTAGACAGCAGGCACCACAGCCAGGCAGACTGGCCCTGGTGAGGCTGACTCGGTCTCTCGTGCCTCCACAGAAGGACTTCACCGTGCGGGAAGAGCTTCAGCAGCAGGATGTGGAACGCTGGCTTGGCTTCATCACCTTCCTGTGTGAGGTGTTCGGGACCATGCGTAGCAGCACTGGCGAGCCCTTCCGCGTGCTCGTCTGCCCCATCTACACCTGCCTCAGGGAGGTAAGAGACCCGCGCGGCCAGGCCTGCTGCCCTGGTGGGGAAGGCCACCCTGGAATGTCTGTGAGCAAAACTCAAACACACCAGGAAAGGGCTTGTACCACCTGGAATGATGGATCCTTTGGTAAACAGAAACGTCACTCTCCGTGCTTCTGTTTACCAAAGCAGGGTTTTAATTCATTGGGCTTGTATAGAGGGAAAAAGCCCTCCAAAGGAAATTATTATTAACTCAGACTTCAGTCATAATCTAGAACACTGCCTGCAGAGAGGAGGCCTCCAGTCAATATTAATTGAATGAATGGATCTTTGGTCTAGATTGGTTTACCATTGAATTATGTATTTAAAAAAAAATACTTGCTTCTAAATTTCATCTGAAGAAGAAATAAATGAGAATAACTGAGAACTTTTGAGAAGCAAGAGGTCAGTGACGTACTTGCCCTACCAGGTATATATAGCCCACTTTAGAGGGTCATCCTGGCTACTCTTGGGGGCCAGAAGCTGGGAGTTCATTATGGGGTGAGGGAGAGGTTGGTGGCTCGGAACACAGCCATGACGGCGCAGAGGAGGTTTGCATTCCAGTTATATTTTTGAGATGGAACCAACAGGACCTGCTGACATGAGATATCAGAGAATGGAGGAAGGGATGTGGGCTCCTGGTTCACAAGCCTGGTGACACCATTTTCTGGGATAGGGAGAGCTTGAAGAGAAACAGAAGGGGATGAAAACTAGGAGGTGGTTTTTTTCTGTTTGGGTGACCCAGTGGTCATCCCCAGAGAGCTGTCCCACTGTTGCTCAGGTAGAAGCGTCTGAAAACTGGGAAGAAGTGTCAGCCCTGGAGACTCGGAATTGAGCATTTTGTGAAGTGTCCGTGTATACTTGGTGCTCAAGGCTGGGGACCAGATGGGATCACCCAGAGAGAGGGTGTAGATGGAGGAATGGCCAGGAGGCGGGGAGGCGGTGGAGGTGAGGACATGAGTGTGGACAAGTCTTTGGAGAAGTGCTTCTGTGAAAGGCAACAGGAAAGGAACTTGTCAACTACAGGGGGGTGTGCAGTCAGGGGACATTTTTGTGTTTTGCGAAGGAAGAAGATAATAGAGCAACCTAAGAGAAAGGAGAGGGTATTTGTAGATGGTTTTGAAGCATCCGTTTATGGGAAACAAGGTGCTCATTCCCGACTGTGTGGATGCTCACTAAAGCAGAGCATGCAGACCTCTCTCAGACACCTTGTAAACCCGTCAGCCTCTGCCACTCCACAGAGCCCAACATCCTTCCTAACAAATGCACTTGAATTCAGAATTGTTTCTCAGAATCGGCAAATGGCCTCCTCCCACGGTATGTCGCTCTCAAAGGGTCATAAGCTCAGAACGCAGCACCACAAGGGGCCATAGCTTTGCTTTTTGCATCCCTCGGGGGTGATGTGAAGGCAGCCCTCTTGGACAGTGGCCTCTTGGGGTCCTCCCATCCCTGCCTGAGTTGCCCTGTGCCCCTGACAACCAAGCTCAAGGCAGGGAGCAGCACCGTTCGAGGGCAGTGACCTGGATTGCCCCAACACGTTCCCTCTGCGTGATCTGGGCACCTCCTGGTGTTGCCGTCACCTGCTTCCCCGAGCAGGGGGCGAGGCTGCAGCTGAGTGCCAGCCCTGGCTGCCAGGACCTTCTAACACCGCCTGAGGTAGCGCGAACTTTCGGGTGTGAGATCCGGAAGGTGCCAGGAGGTCTGCACAAAAAACAAGGAGCGTCCCCTAATGCACACTTGCTTGATGCGTTCAACTTTTCAGGACGATGTCATGAACACAAGTGGCTGCCGTGCTCATGGTAAACTTGAAGAACAAACAGTTCATCTACAGCTTTCACCATAAAAGGGGAAATCAGAGCCCCACATTGCGAGCGCTCTGCCGGAGGCCCGCAGTGAGCTGGTTCCAGAGCACCAGCCCTGGGCTCCAATTCTGCCTCTGCCAGGTTCGAGCTGTGCCATCCAGGGGAGAGTTCACCTGCCCTGAGCCTTGGTTCCTCCTCTGTAGAGGGAGACCATGCTGCTTGCTCTGAAGGGGTTCAGGGAGAAAGACACGGTGTGGAGAGGGTGCTAAGCGCACGAGGACAACTAGGTCAGAATGTAGAAGGAAATGCCCCGGGGACTTGTTCTAGGGCACGGTGGCTCTCAGAGAGCTGGGTTTCCTCCAGTCTGACTTAGGGCCCGGCACATGCCCAATCTTAAAGGGGCACAGAGGCTGAGTGCCCTGCCCAGGGACACATAGCCCCTCACTGCCGGCCTGGAGCTTCTCCACTACCCATCTAGAGCTCTTTCCAAAGAGAACTTAGCTTCCCTAAAACAGGGCCTTAAGAAGAGATGGGGACATAAACGTGTGTCCTACGGATTGTATCAGTCCCTACAGAGAGCCTTTGCCTTTCCCAGCTCTCTGGAGACAGACACCTGAATTCTCAGAGCCTGTTGCTGCCTCCCCTACCTTATCTGTCACACACACACACTTGTACCCAGGTCTGACCGACATTCCCAAAGCAGGTTGGGCCAGCTCCAAGAAGTTTCCAGAAGCCAAAGCCACTGCTGCTGCCTCTTTCCATGCTGGAAAGGTTTAGACTTTTCCCCTGGGGCCATGCAGATGGCTGACCCAGATGCCCACCCTACCACCCTACCCCGGGCCCTCCCAACTCCTAGAACAGTCCCAGGCCTGCATTTTCAGCTGCCCACTAGATACGTCCAGGTCATGCCTCAAGCCTCTCCAGTATCATGTGGCCAGAGCTACACCCCAAGGCCTTCCTGCTCAGTCCAGATCCTAGTGTGGGCCCAGACCCACCCTTCCGGTGCCCCCACAGCCAGGAAGCAGCCCCAGAACCCACCTGATTGCCTTTTCTTACAACTGTGCGTCACTCACTCTATCCTCCTCTTCTGCACGCCCTCCCTGGCTTCCCCTGCTCCCCTTTCCTCTAGGCCCTGAATCAGACACAGACCCGTGGGCCATCTTGGTGTGAAAATCTCATTTAGAACAAACCTAAGAGGAAGATACAAAATCCTCACAGCCCCATTGCAATCTCGGGGTTCTCAGCTCACAGAGGCCACCTTCACTGGACCTGGGGCTCACTGGCCTCCACTCCCCTTTAAGATTGAGCGCACGCTTGGCCCCAAAGCCCCTTCAGACTGGAGGCCACCTGGGGCTCTGAGAGCCCGCCTGCCCCAGGAGGAGTCCCCTGGGCATTTCCTTGCACACTCTGACCCAGTTGAATTAACCGTTCTCTCTGGTTCTCTTGGTTACTCAAGCTTCAGACCTTGGACTCCATCCTTGGAGTCTCTCTCTTCCTGGCCGTAACACCTCTTCCCAGGCCCAGCCCAAGCCACTTCTGGGAAGCTCCCCGCCCCCACCCCCAGCGGACCACATGGACAGCTCCCAAGAGTGAGACATGGCACTCCACCCTGACAACTCCGCCTTTCCACAGAGTCTTAGTATTGGAGCATTTGGTAACTTAGCCTCTATTTAGTAATTTAGTATTTTATAATGATAACGGCACACTGGAAGGCATTGCCCAAAGCACATCATGCATTCTTTTCTCTTTTAACTCGGACAACACTCTGAAGGTGATCATCCCTGGCTGCCAGAGAACAGAGAGGTCGGGCAGTTTGCTCAGGGCCACACAGCAGAGTGCATATCGGAATCCAGATCTGACTGCTGGAGTCCCTGCTCCTGGCCGCTCTGCTCACGCCTCGCGAAGCACCTTTCTATTTCTTCAGTCCGTGCTGTGCAGCCAAAGCCAAATAGGTCATCAGAGAATTGATTCCACTTTTGCCATAAATAACGTGTGCCAATCAGACCTTTCTTTGAGGGATGGAGAAGAATTTCCGGTGAGCCTTTTTATTGTTTAAGCACCACTGGCTCTTCCAAGAGGGTTTTCAAAGTGACTGAACTGTATTATCAGCACCTGCAAGGTGTAGGAGTCTCCTTGCCCTCCTGTTTACTGCTCGTATTTGCTTCGTGAGCTCTTTTTAATTTTTTTTTTAAGATTTTATTTTTTTAAGTAATCGCTACACCCAACGTGGGGCTCGAACATACAGCTCCGAGATCAACAGTTATACGCTCTACCCGCTGAGCCAAGCAGACACCCCTCTTTTTTTTTAATTTTTTTAGTGTTTATAAAATTTTATTGTCATAAGAACACTTAATATGAGATCTACCCTCTTAACAGCTTTTTAAGTGTACAGTACAGCATTGTTACGTCTAGGTACAATGTCATTATAGTGAATCCCTAGAATTTATTCACCTGGCATAACTGAAATTTTATGCCCAGTTTTTAGCAACTGACTATTCCCCCCCACCCCCGCCCCCAGCCTCTGGCGGCCACCTCTGTTCTTTGCTTCTACAAGTTTGACTCTTTGAAATACCTCATGTAAGTGGAAATAAGCAGTATTTGTCCTTCTGTGACTGGCTTATTGCACTTGGCATAATATTTTCCAGGTGCCTCCGTGTGTCCCACATGGCAGAATTCTCCTCTTTTATCAAGTGGAATAGTACCGCTAACCTCCGAACAACATGGGTCTGAACCGTGGGGGTCACTTAGATGCGGAGTTTTTACGATACAGTACTGTAAATCTATTTTCTCCAGCTTATGGTTTTCTTAGTAATATTTCCTCTAGCTTACTTTGTTGTAAGTGTACCGTATATAATACATATATACAAAATGTGCATTAATTGACTGTTGATGTCATTGGGAAGGCTTCTGGACGGCAAGAGGCTATTAGTGACGTTTTGGGGGAGTCAAAAATTACATGTGGATTTTCGACTGCAGGGGGCTTGACGCTGCTAACCCCGGCGTTGTTCAAGGGTTAGCTATATTCCACTGTATGGATATACCACGTTTTTTCATCTGTGCATCTGTTCATGGACATGCAGGTCATTCTCACATCTTGGCTACTGTGCATAGAGCTGTAGTGACCATGGGAGTGCAGGAGTGGTCATATGTCTTCGAGATCTTGATTTCAGTCCTTTTAGATAAATACTCAGAAGTGGGGTTGCTGGATAATATGGTTCTATTTTTAACTTTTTGAGGAAGCTCCCTACTGTCTTTCAGAGCAACTATTTCTCCCCCTCCTTGCCAACACTTGTCTTTTTTTTTTTTTTTTTTTGAAATAATAGTGGTCATCCTAACAGATGTGAAGTGGTTTTGATTTGCATTTCCCTGATGATCAGTGACAATGAGCACCTTTTCAAATACCTGTAGGCCATGTGTATGTCTTCTTTGGAAAAATGTCTATTCAAGTCCTTAGCTCATTTTTTCAATCCAGTTATTGATTTTCTGCTTATTGGGTTGTAGGAGTTCCTTATATATTTTGAAAATTAACCCATTATCAGATAGATGGTTTGCAGATATTTTCTCCCATTCTGTGAGTTGCCTTTCACTCTGGTTTTTTTGTTTTGGTTTGGTTTTTTGTGGGTTTTTGTTTTGTTTTGTTTTGTTTTTGCTGTGCAGAAACTTCTTCATTTGATGTAGTAGTCCCAGTTGTCTGTTCTGCTTTTGGGCTTTTGGTATCTTATCCATGAAATCACTGCCAAGACCCAGGTCATGAATTGTTTTCTTTGAGAAGTTAGTTTTAGGTCTTAAGTTTTAATCCATTTTAAGTTGATTTCTCTGTGTGTGGTGTAACATAAGAGTCCAGTTTCATTTTTCGGCCTGTGGATGTCCTGTTTTCCCGGCACAATTTGTTGAAGAGACTGTCCTTTCCCCATTGCGTGTTCTTGGCACTTTGTCGAAGATTGGTTGATCATATATGCACGGATTTATTTCTGGGCTCTCTGTTCTGTCCCATTGGGTCTATATGTATGTTTTAATTACTGTAGCCTTGGAATATATTTTGAAATGAGGATGTGTGGTGCTTCCTGATTTGTTCTTTTTCAAATTGTTTCAGGATTGTTTTGGCTATATGAATCTTTTGTGGTTCTCTATGAATTTTAGAATTGTCTGTTCTATTTCTTTAAAAAATGCCATTGTAATTTTGACCAGGATTGCATTGAATGTGTAGGTCACTTTGGGGGATATGGACATTTTAACAGTATCAAGTCTTCCAATCCAAGAGCAGGAACAAGACAAGGGTGTCCACTCTTATCACTCCCTCTTAACATAGTATTAGAAGTCCTAGCCACAGCAATTAGACAAGAAAAAAGAAACAAAGGACATCCAAATTGAAAAGGAAGAAGCAAAATTGTCTGTTTGTAGATAGTGTGATCTTGTATATAGAAAACCCTAAAGACTCCACAAAAAAACAAAACAAAACAAAACATTAGAACCAATAAATGAATTCAGTAAAGTTGCTGGATACAAAATCAACATACGACAATCAACTGCATTTCTCTGCAGTGATAACTAACTATGTGAAAAGGAAATTAGGAAAATAAGTCACTTTACAGTAGCATGAGAAAGAGTAAAATACTTAAGAATAAACTTAACTAGGGGCACCTGGGTGGCTCAGTCGTTAAGCATCTGCCTTCGGTTCAGGTCATGATCCCGGGGTCCTGGGATCGAGCCCCGCATTGGGCTCCCTGCTCAGCAGGAAGCCTGCTTCTCCCTCTCCCACTCCCCCTGCTTG